AAGGAAGGAAGGAAGGAAGGAAGGAAGGAAGGAAGGAAGGAGATTATAATAAGAGTGAGTGAGGGTCTGAGGAGAAGGCCTGATTAGCACTTGGCCACCACAAGTACCCATGACTCAAGTGACGTCAAGCTGGCCATGCCCATCCTGGCCATGTCTTCCCTAACCATGCCCACCATGGCCCCCCAAAGTCAAATATAATCCTGATGCAGCCCTTAATGAAATCAAGTTTGACACCCCTGATCTAGACGGAAGAACCTGAAAGCCAATATATAGGATCCTTTTTTTCAGGACTGTGCAATATAGTTCCTTCTGCTGTCCAAAGGGCAATTCTTCCTGGGCCTAACTGTGAGACAATCACTGAAATCTGATGAGTGTGCTTCCACTGCAAGCAGACCTCTGAAACTATATACCCGTTGTACCATGTTCTCTCAAGCGACCTTGATCAGAGGCCAGAATTTCAGGCAAAGGCATGCACAAGCTCACAAAATGCCCTTTCCTGGATTTATGTCCTAGGCTTGGTGTGTGGTTGAAACAATGAGTCAGCCCTGCCCATAAATAACATTAATAAATGATGGTCCATTGCTTGGGCAGAAGTGGAGAATCATATCTAAGACTGCTCAAATAACCTCAATTCCTCTCTTTCTCTCTCTGTTCCTCCCTCTCCTCTCCAGAGGTGCTAATGCTGTGAACCTATAAAAGCAGTAGCCATGGAAATCCAAACCAAAGAAATGGAGCCGGGAGAGAAATCCCCTGAGTCCAAAGACTTGCTGCCCAGCCAAACAGCCAGTACCTTGTGCATCAGTTCTCGGAGTGAGTCCAGCTGGAATACTCGTCCCCGGAATAAATGGGACATTTACCACAAACCAGTCATCGTTCTCTCGGTAGGTGGGGCAGTGTTTCTCTTTGGGATTGCCATTACTAGTCTGACTTGCCTCACCCTGGACAGAAACAACAACACAACCAGCATAAGCAAGAACATGGTCAACAAAACCAGCAACATAACCAAGGAGGTGTTTAAGCTGTGTGGTCCAGCCTTCCTTTCTCTTGGCCTCATGATGCTCGTGTGTGGGCTTGTCTGGATCCCCATCATCCGCAAGAAGCTGCGGCAGAAGCAAAAATATCCCATTCTCCAGAGCATTAAGTCCTTCTTCCTCAACCGCTGAAGGTAGCTTCTCTTGAATTTGGCCACAAGGCCACTTGAGCAGGCTAGGTCCTTTTTGTTCCAATGTCCTGCAAGTCAAACCAACTCTGTTCTGAAGGTGAGATCACCCTTCTCTTCCTTTTGTCTGTTTAGGACTAGCCCATTTCTGGACAGAAATCACCACTGCTGTCCCTGGGCTGTCCACCACCTTTTCAGCAAGAGGAGCACATCTTTCCATTGCCAGATGACCACCACCCCCCC